CTGCGCTGAGCATCAGCACCGGGGACAGCGCGCCGCGCTGCATTGTGGGAAACTCCTGCAGGCCGCTGCTGCAGCTATCTCGCTGCGCCCCGCGCCTGTCCCCACCCTTTCTCCGCCCCTTCACCTCCGGTAGCCGACTCCGGCTGCCCCCTATGGGTCTAGAGAAACCCCTCAAGACTTCCCCACTCTTTTCTTCAAATCAGCCCCAGCCCTCATTCTCCAGCCCACCTTTTCCTCCTTTCCACTCCCCCCACTCCCCCACCCTTCTGCCTGCTCTCCTTCCTCGTACCCAAAGCTTTCTAGAAGGAAAGGATAAGTCTGGGGAAAAGAACAGGAAGATTTCAACCTCGTGAAAAGCTGGTTTTCAGCCCACTGGGCATTCGGCATGTTGGATAAGGATACAGGCTTTGGAATCAAGCTGCCCAGATCAATTCCCTGAGTTTTTCCTCAGTAGTTACATATGACTTGGACAAATCACCTAAATTACCTGGAATTCTATATCCTCCTCAGTAACATGGAAGGGACAATGGTAGCAACTTTGAAACTCATTGGTTTATCTATGCAACAAACAAATATTCACTGATACCTTTTCTGTGCCAAGCTTTGGACTGGGTGATGCTGGGATATAGCAGCGAAGGAGGGAGCTTTGGGCCCTATCCTCATGGAGCCCCTAGTCCCGTGAGGAGACAAACCAGTAGCCAGCAACAGCCCAGAGTGGGCTAGCCTGGGAAGCTCAGGCAAAGTGATCAGGGCAGGATGGGGGAGGTACAGGCAGAGGGTCCAAGCCCCAGATGGAGGACATGCAACAGGCTCTGAGGGCCCAAAGGAGGTGTCTGCCCTAGACTGTAGTGGTGAGTGAAGAAAACGTTTGTTATGAATCAATGGATCTCCTAGAGGCGGGGATGACTATGAACAAGAGAGATCTGCTTCTTGACCTCATCGAGCTCACTGAGTAGAAAAACCAGTGGGAATGCAGGTGACAGCCCAGAGTGAGTGGTGCAATCGTAAGAGTGAACAGAAAATAAAACATGTGAGAGCCTTTGGAAGAAAAACTGAGACTGAAAGAGAGGGTTGTCCTTCCGCTCTCCTTAGCCACTGACTTAGCAGTGAGACCTTGGGCAGGCTCTTCACTCTGCCTCCAGCTTGCCTTCCATCTGTGCAACATGGGAATTACAAGTGAGCTTGCTTCAGAGGAGTTGCCGGGACTGGATTATGTTATGCAGACAAAGCACTTAGCACAGGGCCTGGTACATACTGGGCAATTAACACCCTGTGTTTCTTATCATCGGTGAGACTATGAGACAGGTGAGCATAAGTGTCTGGCTCTGAGTCAGCATCCATATATGGTTGTTGAATGAATGAAAACTTTATGTATTACACCCCCTACCCCCACAAGACCCTAGCTGGGGTCTCAACCCCAAGAACCAAGCTTGTGTTTCCATTGTCCCTTTCCCCTCCTGTCCCACATCTCCCCCAGGAGGTCCCATGGCAGGCCCCACACCACATTCCCAAACCTAACAAGGCACCTTCCATTCCAACAGCAGCATCTGCTTTTATCTCTTATTGTACTTTGCTGAGTGAGGTTCTCCCCCATCCTGTCCAACCTTGAACATCTTAGGACAGAAACTTCCTCTTACCTGCACCTTCAAAACCTGGCTTGGTTAAGAATCTAATATTCCTGCGGTTGAATTCCAGAGCAGTGAGGTCATCTTTCTGTGCCTCCGGTGTGTTTTGTTTTAATTAAAAACATGGAGATCCATTGATTCATAACAAATATTTTCTGAGCACCTACTAAATGGCTAGGTGCCAGGGGTTTGGTAGAAACAGGACCACTGCCACTAACTCACAGTCCAGCAAGGATGCAATGCTGGCACTTTCACAGCACCTACTAGGTGCCAAGCAATGTCCTAAAACTTTGTGAATATATTAACTTACAATCTAAATACACCACAATGAAGTTAAGTAAATCAGATCCCATTTATCAAACATTTGCTATCTAAGACCCATAAAGCCACAAACAGATGACCCTCGCAGGCGATGTGTTGGGCTTGTGCAACCATTTAAAAATATTGAATTCGTTGCCAACATAGGAAAGCAGAGATGTTTAAGGAATTGCAGGTTTTCAGCTTCACTTGAACAAAATCTGAAAACCTGTAACATGTAGGTAGAATTCATGACTGGGGCAGACATTCTCCGTTTCCCATAGCCCATCCCTCCTAGATTCTTCCCAACTCTGAGTCTGAGGGCCATTCAGGTTGCACTGGAATTTTCCTCTTCGCCTCTCTATCTACCTCCCGCAAACGTATCCGCTTGGGATCCCAGTTTGATCCTGCTGAGCCGTCCGGGCGGAAGCCCGCCAGTGCCCCCTCGCGGAGGAATTCGTAATGTTCATCATTAAGGAAGTTAGTGAGAACATCCCACCCCAGGGATGCGGCCCGGAAAGTAACCAATCAAAAGCAAGAGATGGACCAGAATTTGACCAGTAAGGACAGAGAGAGCTCGGAATAAAAGAAACTCTTTTATTGAAGTGGGAAACGGACACACACTGAGACTTTTTTGATGGGGTGTCGGGGCTCAGGGGGGCCCCGGCTGGGGACAGCGGAGCAGGCGGGCGGCGAAGAGGCTGGTGCCCCGACGCTGGGGCCTCGCATACTTGAGGAAGATGGCAGCACGGCCGGGTGCGGGGCCTCGGAGCACCGCGCGGGCCATGCACGGCTCCAGCAGGCCCAACTCCGCGGGGCTGTAAAGTGCCGGCTCCAACC